TAGTTGGGGAACCTTTAGCATGAATGATGGCCTTACAACGTCTTCCCATGGAGTGAACCAAGTCTTTGAGTTCTGCAGCTGTTACCATGTGAAACCAAGATTGAAGGATGGCTTCTATGAACTGGGTTTTATTGCTGGGTCGCTTCTGACTTAATAAGTTTCTTTTAGTCGGCTCCATAGGTTTTCAATTAGGTGAAGGTCTGGGCTATTCCCAGGCCATTCCAGCAATGGAATAGGATGATCTTGAAACTCCCCAAAAAAGTGGTGTTATGAGCCATCAAACCTCAAAAATACACTTTTCCCAAAAGGTTTCCACAATTTTGGCCACTACTGTATGTACTCACTTAACAGTCAACCTTGACTTGATGATACATAATCAATCAAGATAAGTAACCACAACACCTGTGATAGGTAAGAACTTCCTTTTCCTCCCAAGCAAGACCAAATTTAATAGGCTTCACTTCTCCCAAATATCTTGGGAACTGAGGTCCAGTAAGGATCTTTGACCCAGGTCTGAAGTTCCCCTTGTTAATTCAACTGAACAACTCAGAGGTGCTGATCTTCCTCCAGGTTATCACAAACTCCAGTCATTGCTACCGAGTTGTCAAGCTAAATGGATTTTAATTGTAAATTAACACCAACAGCTAATGGACGGGAGAAGAGCTAGTAAAATGAGTCAGCTCCATGACAAACTGACTGGTTATTCATAGAAGTATTCCTATGACTAGCATCTGAATGGCCGGGGAAAGGGAGAATGTCCTTTGGGGGAAGACCTTTCCTTCTCTCATTGTTGTTAGTTGCGAAGTCGTGTCTGACCCATCATGACCCCATGGACAACGTTCCTCCAGGCCTTCCTGTCCTCTACCATCCCCCAGAGACCATTTAAGCTCACACCGACTGCTTCAGTGACCTCGTTCTCTGCCGTCCCCTTCTTCTTTTGCCCTCAATCATTCCCAGCATTAGGCTCTTCTCCAGTGAGTCCTTCCTTCTCATTAGGTGGCCAAAGGATCTGAGTTTCATCTTCAGGATCTGGCCTTCTAAAGAGCAGTCAGGGTTGATCTCCTCTAGGACTGACCGGTTTGATCGCCTTGCAGTCCAAGGGACTCGCAGGAGTCTTCTCCAGCACCAGAGTTCAAAGGCTTCAGTTCTTTGGCACTCAGCCTTCCTTATGGTCTCTACTTCTTCCCATTTTACATTTGATATGAAATCGGTTAAACTGAACTTCTGTTAGTGACTTGAGTGCTTGGCCTTGAACCGATGAAAAAAGACACAACTATTATGGGGTAGCCCCAGCCTTGGTATTATAGGATTTATAAGGGATTTGTCCCGACCACTGGGGACTACACTTAATCCCCTTTCCAAACCATGAATGGCCAAACAATATAAATCAAAAGAAAGCAACGATCAGGAAGGGAAGATTGAACTCTGAATGTGACTGAACTTTGAGTGGGTAGAGCTGAGGAGGAAAAAAATACCAATTTAAATGTAATTAATTACATACTGTCAGAAAGATTACTCACAATATATTTAATCATTTCCTTCTTTTGCGTGGAAAGCTAAAATTCAGTAACCGCTAGGGATCTGAATCCTCAGCTTTTGCACCCTGTTGTAAACCCTGAAACTTTTCTTCTTTTTCTAACCTTAGTTGTCAAGAATGCATAACGTAAGGTTATTGGCTTCCAATTCACAGCTGCAGATTCTCTTCCAAAATGAATGAATAAATGCAGGTAGTCCTTGACTACTACAACCACAATTGAACCCAACGTTTCTGTTGTTAAGGGAGACATTTGTTAAGTGAGCTTTGCCCTGTTTTACGACCTTTCCTGATGCAGTCGTTAAGTGAATCACTGCAGGTGTTCAGATAGTAAGTTGTGAGGGGTCTGTAGATATTTTCTCAGTCCTCCTTTTGGTTCGTGCAATACAAATAAGGCCTCAAGTTATGACCAGTCCCGCTCTCTCAGCCCAACCCACTTCGTAGGGTGGTTGTTATGGCTTGTTCGCCGCCTTGAAGTAGTTATAAAAATAATAAAGACGGAATATAGGTAGTCCTCAACTTACGACCACAACTGAGCCCAACATTTCCATTGTTAAGTGAGACATTTGTTAAGCGAGTTTTGCCCCATTTTACTAACTTTCTTGCCACAGTTAAGTGACTCACTGAAGTCGTTAAGTTAATAACACGGTTGTTAAGTGAATCCGGCTTCCCTTTGCTTGTTGGAGAGCAAAACATCCTTCCTTAAATAGGAGCAATATCTTAGAAATGAGCCACGGTGGCACAGTGGTTAGAGTGCAGTACTGCAGGCTACTTCTGCTGACTGCTGGCTGCCTGCAATTTGGTAGATCGAATCTCACCAGGCTCAAGGTTGACTCAGCCTTCCGTCCTTCCGAGGTGGGTAAAATGAGGACCCAGATTGTTGGGGGCAAAAGGCTAACTCTGTAAACCGCTTAGAGAGGGCTGGAAAGCGGTAGGTAAGTCTAGGTGTTATTGCTATTGCTAAATGACCTGTCCATTCTGGTCCTTCCCTCACTTCAGAAATATTGTGTTGTTCCCAGATACTAAAAAGCTTCTCAGCATCTCAAACATCTGAATTGCCAGGTATTCGCTCTTGACTCTTCCACTATGGCTTCTTGTGTCATTCTCTTAGTCCAACTTTGGTCCAGCTTTCTAGAGCTCAGCTGCTCAGTTTTCTAATTCGGACAGAACTCGCCCCAAAACTCATTTTTTAAAAATCAACTTTGACTTCCCAGTAGTGATATTATTTTACCGGGGAGGAGAGAAGATGCTAGAAGGTATTAAAAATACATAATATATGACACAAAATAATTCAATTTTATCCTGAAATTGAAATTCATCTTTGATGAAGAGAAGGACTAGGGGAGACATGATAGCAGTGTTCCAATATCTCAGGGGCTGCCCCAAAGAAGAGGGAGTCAAGCTATTCTCCAAAGCACCTGAGGGCAGGACAAGAAGCAATGGGTGGAAACTAATCAAGGAGAGAAGCAATCTAGAACTAAGGAGGAATTTCCTGATAGTTAGAACAATTAACCAGTGGAACAACTTGCCTCCAGAAGTTGTGAATGCTCCAACACTGGAAGTTTTTAAGAAGATGTTGGATAACCATTTGTCTGAAGTGGTGTAGGGTTTCCTGCCTGGGCAGGGGGTTGGACTAGAAGACCTCCAAGGTCCCTTCCAATTCTGTTATTCTATTCTATTCTAACCCAGTTTCACTTCAGGCAACTTTTGCACATGGGGAGATCTTTCTGACTAATAATAAATATTACCAGGAGCTCTTTATCACTGATCCTCAAGAGTTTCAGAAAAGTAAACTGAGTAGACCCACCAGGGTTATCCAGATGTTTAAGCAGCATTGTTGGTCCATAGCTACCAATTCCATCTTGTAAGACAGAACAATCTTATCTTGCTTCACACATTGTACTAAGCAGTGGTGGGTTGCTCCCGGTTCGGACCAGTTCGCAAGAACTGGTAGTAAAACTGGCGGGAAGCCCCGTCCACTGCCCCGGATGTCATCATCGGTGATCTGCGCATGTGCAGAAGCAAGGCGCATGCGTGATTGAAGAGAGCGCATGAGCACGATCCCATTGTGAACCGGTAGTAAAGGTAAGTAGAACCCACCCATGGTACTAAGCCATGATTTTCGGAGCAAGATACAGGTAACCCTCAACTTTTGACCACAACTGAGTCCAAAATTTATGTTGTTAAGTGAAACATTTGCTAAGTGAGTTTTGTCCCATTTTACGACCTTAAGGGAATCACTGCGGTTGTTAAGTTAGTAACAAGGTTGTTAAGTGGATCTCTGGCTTCCCCATTGACTTTGCTTGTCAGGAGGTTGAAAAGCGGATCACATGACCCCAGGAAACAGCCACCGTCATAAATATGAACCAGCTGCCCAGCATCCGAGTGTAAATCATGTGACCATGGGGATGCTACAGCAGTTGTAAGTGTGAAATTTGATAAGTCACTTTTTCCAGTGCCGTTGTAACTTCAAACAGTCACTAAATGAACTGTTAAGTCAAGGACTACTTTTACACATGCAATCTTCGAAAAAAGCCAACTTTCTTCTTCTAACAAGCTACGGATATTGTAGTCAACTTTCATAAAAAGCATGAGTGTTCTGACTAAGGCTTCCTGAGACAGTAAAAAGCACATGATTAGTCCCAAAAACCCTCTTTTTATTTCAACGGCTGTGAATTCTGTTCATTCCCAGCCCGTAACGAGTCACAAATCGTTTGTAAAGAGTCCAACAGAAGTCTGCCACAGTCCTTCCGGATAAGGCTGATAAGCACCCATTTTTATCTCCCTTGACACGCTCCCAAAGACCTAATTGGCAATTAGCTTTACAAGGCCACACGGAGCACAGAGTCAAAACGGAACTTCAGAATTTAAACCAACCGGAACGAACAACATTGCTTCCTGCAAAGGCTCACGTGCCTTTGCTCCTCCTGTCTTATGGGAGGGGCCAATCATCTCCAAGCCTTACTCCCGAGTAGTGCCTTTTGTTTTAACTGTTCTTGCCTTCTGGCAGCTCTGCGCATGTGTGCACTGGGAACAGGCTCCCCCTGTTCCTCTGCCTCACTGATGTCTGACTCTAACCCTAACCCTAACCCTAACCCTAACTCTGTCCCCCTCTCTGCCTCCAACACAGAGCCCTCGTCTGAGCCTTCCCCAGACTCCAGGACTGGCCCATGTTTCTCCCCAACCTCCTCACTGTCCGACTCTGCTGCCAGCTCTGCAGGCCGCCGGCGGACCACAACAATGAGAGAATGGATCTTTTCAACCTATCCAGGAGGAAACTGTTTAAACATAATGACCATTTATTCTTTTTAAATATTTTTTCCCCACTTTCCTTTTTCAACAGGAGTTTGGCAAGTTCCAGAATGAAGGCATCCATCGCAACCAGTTGAAAAATACGAAGAAGGAAAAAGTACCTTGACAGACCTCTAAAGAAGGAACAAAAGAATTTGGAATTTGGAAAGCTCACCTCGTAATGATAATTCATGCAGGTCAAGTCCTTCCAGCAACGATCCCCTCGTATTTTAATCATCCCCTGTGGGAAGGAAAAAATAACAGCTCCGAGGTTAGTACTCGCACTTCCATTCTGAGGAAATTTTGAAGAAAATTATACATTAATGTAGTTATTAATATACATTTAATATATTCCGCATTTTGACAGCGTTTCTCAACCTTGGAACTTGAAGATGGGTGGACTTCAACTCCCATAATTCTTGCTGGGGAATTCTGGGAGTTGAAGTCCAGCCATCTTCAAGCTGCTATGGTTGAGGAACACTGCTTTATGACGTATTTAACATATTACATTAGACATTAATTACATATTAATGTATTGAATTATATATTGACAATATAGTACTACCTTAAATTATATACTGTATTATATTAACAATTAATATATTTTAGCTTTTCAACAAAAGTATCTATTAAGATAACACACATTCCAATTTCTTTATCCTGCTCACCAGGGACATTTTCACAGAAAAATCATTTGGAATTACACCCCCCCCCCCCCGGAACTTAAGGGAGCGAGGAAGAAAAAAAACCCCAGCATTTTTTATTCCCAAGAAGATTCTAGTGGGAGGCTATCAGGGGAAAGTACCCTATATGTTGGGTCAACATTAGACATGAAGATCAACCAGCTCATTCACTTCAAGATGGCAACCAAAATCCTATGCCATGTATTCTGCAAGGGACAAGGATCCCCAAGTTCTGTGCCCCTCCTCTTCTGTTCATCTGATGCTCAAATCAGGGTGAAATGGACTTAGAAGACTTAGAATAACTGTATTGACACTTTAAATGTACACTAATCAGCATACATTAAAATCAAATTTCATTGTATACAGCTCTCAAGGTCACTACCTCCAATATACACTACATAAACATCACACACACACACACACAAGATTATGCATATACTCACATACACAGTCTAGTTCAGTTGTATAAATTGTACAAGGCGAGAAATGGTGTCCTAGGTCATCATGATACATTTGGCATTGTGATGGCTCTTACTGGATACCTGTGGCTGCAACCCTGGTCATCACAATTAATAGACAGAGAACTGGCCGCACATACACATATCACTATAATGGATATCACACACTCTGCACTCTCTCTCTCTCTCTCTCTCTCACACACACACACACACACATACACACAGAGAGAGAGAGAGAGAGAGAGAGAGAATGAGAAAGAGAGCGAGAGAGAGAGAAAGGGAGAGAGAAAGAAAGAGAAAAAGAGAGAAAGAGAAAGGGAGAAAGAAAGAAAGAGAGTGACAAAGGGAAAGAGAGAGAGAGAAAGGGAGGGAGAAAGAAAGAGAGAGAGAAAGAGAGAGAGAAGAGAGAAAGAAAGGGAGGGAGGGAGAGAGAAAGGGAGAGAGAAAGAGAGAGTGAGTGTGAAAGAAGAGAGAAAGGGAGAGTAAGAAAGAGTGAAAAAGAGAAAGAGAGAGAGAGAGAAAGGGAGGGAGAAAGAGAGAGAAAGAAGAGAGAAAGAGAAAGGAGAGAGAGAGAGAGAAGAGCGAATGAAAGGGAGAGAAAGGGAAAGAAAAAGAGAAAGGGAAGAAAAAGAGAAAGGGAGAGAAAAAGAAAGAGTGAGGGAGAGAGAAAGAAGAGAGAGAGAAAGGGAGAGAAAGATGAGAGAGAGAGAAAGGAGAGAGAGAGAGAGAAAGAAGAGCGAAAGAAAGGGAGAGAGAGAGAGAAATTAGAGAGAGATTAGAGAGAGGGCAGCCAAATGGGGCACGAAGGCAAAGAGCACTGGCAATGGTGGCACTCAGGGCACCACATTGGGACATAACGAAATGCCGACACCTTTCTAAATCTTGCCTCCCCCTTTGCCAACACTTCCACGTGTCAGAGCAGCCGCAAAGGAAGTTTGGCGATTTGCATGAACGCTCAAAGTAAATGCACACCCACAAGAGACTCCCTTAATTGTCTCCACCACTGCTGGAAAAATTCTCCCAGGAAGAAGAGGGAAGAAGGAATGGAAAGCTTTATCAATGGTGTTATTTTCCAGGCCGTCCTCATCTTATGACTACAGTTCAACCCAACATTTCTGTTTTGAGTTTTGCCCCCATTTTACGAACTTCCTTGCCACCGCTGTTAAGTGAATCGCTGAAGCTGGTAAGTTAGCAACCCGGTTATTAAGTGAATCTGGCTTCCCCGTTGACTTTGCTAGTCAGAAGGTTGAAAAGGGGATCATGTGACTCCGGGACACTGCAACAGTCATAAGTACATGCCAGTTGCCAAGCATCTGAATTTTAGTAAGTGTGAAACAGAGTAATAAATCAGGTTTTTTTTCAGTGCTGGAAAAACTCTCCCAGAAAGGAGAGGGAGTAAGGAATGAAAAGCATCACTTCCAAGTCACTGCCAGAAAAATTAATGGGGTTATTTTACAGTAGTCCTTGCCTTATGACCACAATTGAACCCAACGTTTCTGCGGTTAAGTGAAACATTGGTTAAGCGAGCTTTGAATTTTGATCCTGTCACCATGGGGATGCTACCACGGTCGTAAGTGTGAAAAATGGTCATGGGTCACTTTTTTTCAATCCCGTTGTAACTTCAAACGATGAACTGCTGTAAGTGGAGGACAGGTTTTTGTGGGAAATCTGTGACAATCTGGTTCAGGTTCAGAAGCTAAATCAGAAGAGATCTGATTAAGACTGGAATGGAGGCCAAATTGGGAAATAATCCAACTCTTGGCCAAGTTGGGAAATTGGGAGGAAACACGGTGCTTCTCGCTTCTGGCTGCTGCCAAGAACACCGCATAGATTTGCCCATGAGGTCACCAGGCTTCATTCAATGACGGATATATTACTTTATTGTGCTTTGAATAACAAACAGTCGGAGACTCCTTTGTTTTAGACAAGAGGCCATGCGAAATTCCCAGCTATGGGAATATGGCCTTCCAACTGCTCTTTTGCCTTTTTATTATTCTTATGGTTGCTCGTATAACCAGCCAGATGTTTAGACTGGATTTGGCATTTTTGTCCACCTTATCGAGTACTTCACAGAATGGGCAGATGGTGCTGCTTGATGGTTTCAAAGGGATTGTTTGAATCGGGATGTAAGCTGTTCCAAAGTAAAGCTGCCTTTTGCAATTGACCGATGGTGAATTTGTCAATGCCAACGGTGTTCAAGGGGTGCTCCAATTGTTTTGGGATTGCACCAGGGGTGAAATCCAGTAGGTTCTGACAGGTTCTGGAGAACCGGTAGCAGAAATTTTGAGCAGTTCGGAGAACTGGCAAATACCATTTCTGGCTGAGTGGGGAGGGAATGGGGATTTTGCAGTATCCTTCCCCTGGAGTGGGGAGGGAATGGAGATTTTGTAGTATCCTTCCCCTGCCACGCCCACCAAGCCACACCCACAGACCCAGTAGTAAAAAAAATTGGATTGCACCACTGGATTGCACCCAAGGCGCCTATGACTATTGGTACCACCTTTGCTTTCTTTTGCCACAGTCATTCTATTTCAATTTGCAGGTCTTTGCATTGTGTCATTTTCTCATCTTCTATTTGCTGTCCATCTCACAGTTCGAAGCAAATCTGGCTACTGAATAATCCTGTTGAAAATGGCCCTTCAGCCAGGCTTTCATCAAAAGGTACCTCTGTCCTCCAAGGGTTTCAGATACTTTTCTCTGTTAATAGTTTAATCAGTAGCTTCTCTTCTCTTCTCTTCTCTTCTCCTCTTTTCTTTCTCTTCCCTTCCCCTCCTCTTCTCTTTCTCTTCTCTTCTCTTCTCCTCTCCTCTCCTCTTCCCTTCCCCTCCTCTTACTCCAGGTATTGCCATATCCACTATTCACACTTTCTTGTTTTTCTTATTGGCAGTTGTTAAGACTAGGGTGTTATGTGACAGGTTCTTGTTTTTTTTATTATTATAAATTATAATAAATTATCATTATATCCCACCTTCTCCCTCACATAGATACACACACACACAGCAGCCTAATAATCATACTCCTAATATTTCTGACTTTTATTTTCCCCATTACTAACAACCAAGTGAGGTGGGTTGGGCTGAGAGAGAGAGCAACTGGCCCAAAGCCCCCCCACCTCCCACTCTTAGGCTTTATGCCTAAAACAGGTCCAGAACTCGCCCTCCCCTGATTTCTTAATTAATGTTTCCTAATCTACCCCCAGGCCAAGTCATTCAGCCTCACCCCTCCTGCACCCCCCACCCACCCCAGGAACAATGGAGCTCTTTGCTGCCTACTTTGCCTTGGATTCAAATCAGCCAGCTAGGCAAACAACATTTGCAAACCTCACTTTCCGCAGCCAAGTGACAGTTACGTGGTGGCGTTCTCCTTGTCCCAATGCAACCATTTCAGTGGTTCTCCTCTACCTAGGATGGATCTCACCAAGCACTGATGTACGTTCGAAATCTCCATCTACACAATGCCCTTAAAGCAGGGTTTCTCAACCTTGGAAGCTTGAAGATGGGTGGACTTCAACTCCCAGAATCCCCCAGCCAGCGCTGCTGGGAGACTCTGGGAGTTGAAGTCTACCCATCTTCAAGCTTCCAAGGTTGAGAAACCCTGCCTTAAGGGCTGTTTGGTCACCCAAGAGTGCTTTAAATAAATAAACTATTATCCTTCTCATCTTTCTTACTACCTTCTCCTATTGATACCTTATGAGTTCCTGCTCAGGTAGGAAACTCTGTATCAGTGATGGCTAACCTTTTTGTCATCACGTGCCAGGAGCAGGGGTAACACGTGGGGGGCGTATGCGTGCCCACACCCATAATTCTATGTGCCCCGCCCCCACACATGTGCGTGTGACCTCCCCCTCCCGCCCAGCTCCTGGCACGTGATGGCCCAGTGGGCCCGTTTTTCTCTCTCCCCAGGCTCCAGAGCCTTTCTAGGAATCTGGAGAGGGCAAAAACGGCCTTCCCACCCCACCCCCGGAGGCCGAAAACGGTCTGTTTGCCAACTTCTGGTGGGTCCAGAAGGCCCAAAAATCAGCTGGCCGGCACACGAATGCACGCCGGAGCTGAGCTCGTGTGCCCACCGATATGGCTACGCTTGCTACCCTATATCATATC